GTTTGGAGCAGGAGAAGAAAGGACTGCAGGCTGGCTGCCTGGAAGAGCAGCAGGGCCACGGACGGTTTGCTAGCGGGGACCAGGGGAGCATTGAGGGAGCTCCTGGCTGGTTGCTAGAACTGAGTAGGGACTGAGCCTGAGGAGGGCTGCAGGAAGATAGTGTCTCCAGGAAGGGCATACCAGGGCTGGACTACGTAAAGACCAAAGCCCAGGGAGGGTTAGAGAGAGACACCACCAGAGGGGTATTGAGATAGACCCCGGTGGATCGTATACCCTGAAAGGGGTTTGTGCTTGTTAAAATGCAGAAAGTGACTTGGCCGGAGCACTGTGTCACTGACAAACCCGCCTGAGAACCACCGAAAGGGTCACTAGAACTAAAGAACGCAGACACGCCCAACCAGAAGGGGGCACTCGCGAGAGGTGGGTACCAACGCCGTTACACAGGGGTTGGCACATTCATTAGTGAAGTCGTGCGTGAAAGAGAAGTTCAAGCAGCAGAAAAAGATAGATGGACACAAAGAAGGAGCAAAGAAGCCCCAGATAAGGTCAGAAAAGTCCTGGTAGTGTGTTCCTTAGAAAAAAGCTAAGGGAGAGCTTTTGGTCAAAGTGCTAACTGGAGGAGGCTTGGAACTGTAAACAAAGAAATTACCCCCTGTTTGATTCCTACTGTGTTCGGGAAAGAGGAGTTTGTAGATTCTTTGTACAGGATTGCATTAAATACCTGACTCCCTCATCAATTTCTTTTCCTAGCAGAAACAATCTGCTAGACCCCAAAAATTGGGGTAATAATAATTTAAGATCTCAAAGGTTCCAGAGACAGAAAGAAAAAAATTAAACAGTGAGAAAGCTAGTACCATCCAATTATGTATATCAGAGTGTGGGGTCAGGACTTATTAAAATTTTCATTTCAAACTCTGACAGCATCACAAAGGGGGTATTCACAGACATGGACAGCACTGGAGAGCTGTAAAGAAGGTCTCTGACGGGGAAAAACCTTTAAACCCCGCCCCCCAACAAGCAAAAAAGCAACCTCTCAAATTGCTTTGCTATTACACTGACAGCTTTTGTTCAAATGCACAGTAACTAAAAAGTGATGCATTCTATTACAAAGAAAGCAGAAGATCATAATTTTGGTGCTTTGTGAAATTTAGGTGTATGCTGAAAGCAATAGTAGCCGTCTTGAAAATTTCAGTGATGTACTTTCGCTGTCACATTTCTAAATGGTTCTGTTCCGCTTTTCATGGCCTGTGGTGAATTTAAAGTACTGATAGACACAGAATGATGGACCTTAATCTTCACTAATCTCATCACACTGAAGGCTCTTTTGGGTCCACTGGTAAAAGGAGGTGGTTACATTAGCGTCAGCATAATTCTTTTAAGGGCTTTATGTATTACTGTAGGTTAAAAAAAAAAGGCCCGTATATTTCTATGGATGTTTGAGTTCTTTCAGGTGAGGGAACTCCTATTTCAGAAAAGGTTTTTTTTTTTTTTTTTTTTTCTACAAATCATCGGTGACTGTCACATTTGCTTGGATTGACAGACAATCATGTAGCAATACAGCTTTTATTATGGTTCTTGACTGCAGCAGTTTGCATGCTGAGTTTAACTAAGCTGATATACATATTCTTCAGGAATATATTGTTAAGCAGAAATTTCATAGACATTTTCGGAACTGCCCAGAACCACAGTATTAGGGTTTTAGGAAGAAACTCCTGAAAATATCACACTAACGCTGCTCCAAATACTCTCCACTGACAGATAAATGTCTCCCTTGTCTCCTGTAGGAGCCCTTCCTTTCCAGGAGCATTTTATACTGGTATTCCACATACTGCAGTGGCATCCAATTCATTTCTAGGAGCAATTTAAATTGTTTGTTTTCATCTATAAAGACATTTACACTTTGAGTCCTGGGCATGTTGTCCTATGGCACTTGATTTGTACATGCGGTGGGTCATTCTCAGTGGAGTGTCCTTGACTCCGGAATGTGTTTCCCTCCTTGGTCCGAGATAGTAAGAATTTGGTGACACCCAAAGCCTGCTACAAGGCCTGTAGGCCTTTCACAAGGAGTGGGAATGGGTCATGTCTTAGCTTTTGTGTCAGGTTCAATTTATTTTAGAAAATGTGTTTATATCACACACTGTACATGTGGCTAAGGCATTTTTGACAGATGTAATATATAAATAGGAAAAACTATATAAATAAACCTGAACCAGCATGTTCCGTATTTAGCAAGCTGCCAGGATTTTCACATAGAGATGTGTATGACAGTTATTAAAATACCAAGTTTCACAGCATGTTGTGTTTTCCGAAGGAAAACCCAACCCTGACTGGAACAACGGGGAGTATAGAGACACTGTCCAGTGCAGAGTCTGCTAATTGACATCGGCCCCGCACGCCGGAGCAGCATTCATCATGGTGAGCGGAGCTGGGGATGGGTGACAAGCCATAGAGCATTATGTGATGCTCCTCTGAGCAGCAGCAATTTGCACTTTCAACCTGCTGTTGGCAGCACTTGCTGGAGAATGCAGCTTATGTACTGGCCACTTTTTTTTTTTTTTTTTTTTTTGCAGGGAGTGGGGATCCTAAACAGCCTATTTAACCGGCAGATCTCATCTCCTTTGGGATATGGAGCACCAGACAGTACAATTCGCCAGCTCTTTTCTACCATTCTTCACTGAGCTATGAGGAGATCCTTACCTGCTGCCTGTGTGGGATAAAAAGTTGCACCTACATCTTTTGCACACTAGCACAGCAGAGGGTAGGACTGAGCCCCCAGTTTAGCAAATGCACCGAGGCTTACGAATTTGCAATTTAATTAGTTTAGAGACGGTATAACTGAAGAGTCATTTGTTTGTGACAGTCTTACAAGGTTGAAACCAGAGGTCCCACATGTGCAGTAAAAAAAAGAGTAAGTAAAAAGCATGTCCTAATATATTTAGCAAATGCTAATGCAAAGCAAAGAAAAATATACAGGTGATGGGATCGATGGATTCCGTGCCTTGGCAACTGTTGAATATCTAGAGCTAGAGAAGAGAGAGTTTTAGAGATGAGGCTCCCCATCTTCCTCCTTACAAATAAATTACTGTGCCCAAACACTGAAATGGTGGCCTGCCTTGCATAAACACAATTGTGAGTTGAACTGAAATTGCGCTGTGGACTCAAAACATACTACAAAAGCAGAAAGCTCCTGCTATCTTTGTGAGCGAGCTGAAAAGTGAAAACAGATTAGAGAAATAAGTTTCTCAATAGGCAGTAACATTGCTTTCACACCAGATTTGATGAATAAGTCCTCCCAGCGGCACTAACACCTGATATGCACATTGCATGGATTAGCAAGTTTTAGGCCAGGCAGAAGAAAAAATATTCTTTCCTCCCAGTTACTGCTACAGGTATATTATCTAATGAAAACACAACAAGATTTCTCTAAGGAATGTGAAATTTGTTTGGTATTTCCATCAAACAATTATATGTTGTTCATCTAGTATCTGAGAAGCACTGAGGCATATCCAGACCTGATTACATTCCTTCTTAGCTTCAGAACAAGCTATCCCAGTAGGGTGGTGAGCAGTTTCTCATCTCTCCCTTTGATGCAGGTGCACACAAAAGAGAGGTTTGTGATAACAATACAGACACATTTTCTTAGTATCTTGATGATCCTAAATCGAAACGCCCTGGATCATTACTGGAGTCTTTCAGAATATTTCAAATTAAGGGGTAAATTTTCAACGCGATGTAACAGGGATTTAGCTGCATGACTTCCATTAACACCAGTGGGAGGTGAACAGCTAACTCCCCACTCACTGCTTCAAAAATGTACCCCTTTAAATGTCATATTTCCAAAATACATTAGACTTTTCAATAACTAAACAGTTGCCAAGAAAAACAGTATTATTTCCATTGACAGTATTTGACAGATAACTGCTTCCAGAGCCAAGCTGGTTTGAGGAAAACATTAAAGCTCCCAAACATTTTTATAGGACAGGAAGGCCGAGTATTCTGGGGGGTGCAGCTTCTTGAACCACAACATTCTAACGCTTATGTTAGTGTCTTACGCTATCCTACCTCCCTGCAGCCAGCAGAGAACACAGCTAAGGGAAAGGGGATGTGCATCCTGGCAAACCCTGGTTGCTCTAACAGACCCTGGGGGTTGTTGACAAGAGGTGCACGTTATAACACTTATACCAACAAATCAGCACAGCACAGAGAAGCCTCAGGATTAGAGGAGCACAAAGGTGGCTTGACTGAAGCCAAGAATCAGGGCCAAAAAGTACAAAGTGGGTGTAAAATGGTACCAAATCAAATGGTAATCGTTTGCACCCACTCTGCACTTTTGTAAATGATTATACAAGGTGCAAGGCAGTGGCGAATGTAATCCAGAATATCCAAGAAAAATGTGCATGTTCCCCAAATAAGCACCTCAGGTGTTCAGTAACATTCCTGAAAAACATGGAGGTTTAAGTGCATAGGGGAAAATCAAAATCTGCATTGCTTTCAGAACTAAACTACATATTCTTTTCCCTGTTGATTTTTATCATTAATAATGTAATCTTACAAACTAAACATCAAAAGATGTAAACAAGTTGTCAGAACAGATTCCTGAGAGCCATTCTTCCCATTACATATTTGAAAACAGGATTTTTCAATTCAGCAAGGAATGTTATTGTATTATCTCTCAGAGACAGATCAGAATATGTGGAATTCCCATTCTAATATCCTTTATTAAACACATATTTCTTATTTAATTAAAAGACTTTGTTAGATTAGTTTTGATTAATTTGGTCAAATGGTGGATACTAATTAGAACAACCGAGGTTGGGAAGCCCATTAGAAAATGATAATTCTCTACAGTGAAAACAACAAACATGAACTGAATATTAAGTCAGTTATCTCCTTTAAAGGTGAAAGGAAATATTCCCAAAGATTCAGTCTGTTTAGCTATGGGTGTTATACTCCTATTATCAAAAAAGAACAAAAAGAGCAAGTATCTTAAAAATACTTACTACAATATCTTCAGGGAAAGTGTCCCGACTGAAGGAGCCATCATCAAACATGACTTCATAGAAGACTTGAGATGTCACTCCTATCACTCTGCAACTATAATATCGTGTGTTCCTGTGTTTTGTGATGACAGTCTGCCCCACTGTGATGGCCTTCTCACATGCTTTGGTTCTCTTGAAAGCAAGAATTTAAGAAACAGTCATTAAAAATAGTCACCACTTAGTTTATCAGAACCATGTCACATGATAAAGTAGTGAAGTGATCAATCATGGATCTCAATTTAGCGAGAAATCTTGAAATGCAAAATCTTTCCTTACTACAACAATCAAACTTTCTGTGAAGCATACACATTTACATTTTATTAGAAAAAGAATTACAGCCACACAAGATTACAGCACATAACTAAAAATATATCTACTATTATGGTATTTTGGCTCATCTTACAAAACAGGAGAATAATTTAAGCATAACAATTCTGGGACCATTCAGAAATTTTGTTTGCCACTATCTTAAAGCCTTCTTATATCCAGCACCAGTAGACATCATACATGGTAGACCAAACTTATACTGTAGAATTTTACTGAAAGGCACAAGCTTTGGATTCATGTTTGGATTTTCATAATGATGTACTTAATATTTTGCTCACTGGGATGACATCAACCGATATACATCTCGTTTTTGTGAAAGTGGTCAACAGTGATACAACAGGATGCTTCAGTAACTCAGAAACAATACCATGCAGAACATTCACTTTAAAACTGCAGATGGTATTGTGCAGTTATAATGATTGTTTATTTTATCACTCACCTTTATGATGTAGCAGGTCAGTCATAATCATTGTTTATTTTCATGTTTCCTCTCTAACTTCCCTAAAATCAGCTATCACCTTCAGAAGTGTAGCCAGGATATACTCTATGGTCAAATTATGCAAAGATTCTACCTCAACAACTATGGGTGTTATACTCCTATTATCCAAAAAAACAAAAAGAAAAAACCACAACCCAATCCCATAACTCAGCAAATGCTCAGAGATGTACATGAGGCAGAAAATTGCGCACACCACTTCTCAACTAATGCATCCCAGTGTGCCTCCCACTTGCACAGTGAGCGTCACCATCTGGAGAAGTAAAATCAAGAGTTTCTCATCCTAATAAGACATCCTATGGCTGTTCACTAGCTGTAAATCATTTCATATTGGTTGCTGTGTTTGTGTGGTAAACTGTACTGTGTCTCAGGCAACAGCTGGGCATCTGAACTTTTCTGACAACAGGAGATTCTAAAAAGCACGGCATGATTCAAATAGCATATCATATTAGTGAAAATGTTTTGAATTAGAAATATTTACTTAACCAGCTTGAAATAGTGTATGACATATACTAAATTAATTACCCAATTTCCTACCACTTTTTCAACTGTCTGTAACCTTTCAAGCAGCAAAGTTCTTCAATAAATGTAATAATCTGAAAAGAAAGTACCTGTGAAAGTCTGCAAACTGATGTGACTATAGAATTGTCAGCATTATTCTTAGAAGCTGTGTTATGGTCAGTGCCCATGCTCTTTGTTAGATTTTTACATTTTATTTTCAAGTAATTCCCGCAACTTTTTTTAAACAAACTTGGGCCAAATTTTGAAATACTTCTGCTTTGTAATTTTTGGCACAAAACCACTTTCTTGCACCACATTACAGAATTTACACATCTCAAACTTTTGTGTTTCTAAAAACTGAGGGCAAAGCAAGTACAAATGTGTTGTGTGCATCTGAAGTCTATCACCAGAAAATGATAGACTTCAGATGCACAAAACACATTTTCTGGTGCTAGCGCACTAAGTTTGTGTTTGCAAGTGATTTCTCTGAGTAAAATTGTGTTCATGAAAACAGAGGATTGGACTGAGGCCTACTGATGAAGTTATACCCAATTACATTTCTATAGCATTTTCAAGATTACCTGGAAATAATCTTTCTTTCATAATTATATATTATTTAATGGCTGTTTACCTGTTTAAACAGCCATTACTAGTTCTGTATATAACAATATCATTAAGCCTAAACACAAAATGGTGAAATGAGCCAAGAACTAGTTTACCACTGTTATCACTGGTAAAAGGTTCACAAAATAAACTCCACAACTCAATCCCCCTACCTCCAGGCAGAAAACCAAGTAAATGAACAAAAAACTCAAACCATAGAAAACCCTACTGCATCCCAGCTCAAGGGGATGGAGTTTGGCTTTCAGTATGCTATGTTGGTAGGATTCTTGATTTATTTTGCAGAAAAACATATTGACAAGCACACTGTATAATTGATTGCCTGTCCCAGAAAACATTTCCTGTCAGAAAAGCCTAAGAACTTATTGACGTTAAGAATGTCATTTTTGATCAGAAAGGACAGTTGTTATGCAAGGGGCTCTATCAGATTAAAGAAACAGCTGTGGTATCTTTCAGATTATGGTGCAAATTGTGGTTCAGAAAGTGTGATTTTTCTTCAACATAACCCAAGGCAAGGATGAACTAAGATAGCAGTAGAAACAGAGAAAATCGAACACACACACACACACACACACACACACAAAGCCATCTTGGCCTTCCATATGTAAACTTGAAAAAATGGGAAACATTATGGTAGAAGTCCTTGCTCTTTATTTGTGTGACTGGTGTATTGCTAGCAAACCAGATGCCATCTTATGCCAAGGTCCCCATGCGTTGGATACTGAAAACACATAGCTGGAATCAGTTTGGTCCACCTGTGTGTTAGTACTGGTAAAATCATTAGAGTTATAAAAATGTGCTTAGTGTTTCTGCTTTATTGAACACTTGTAAATTGCTACTTGGATTAATATCACTTATAACATCTGTATCATATTGTAAGGTATTATTTGAGCACTTGCACTATAAGTCTCTGTAACTGTGTAAATCACCAGACAGGAGAGAAGCATTAGCTAGTGTGAAATACTAGTCTCCAACAGGTGTTATGTCCTGCCCGACATAAAAGGCACAGAAACACAAGATGAAGTATTGTGGAACATCAGAGGGCAAAAGACTTTGTTGATTGTTTTCTCCCCCATCATGAAGAGAAGATGTGCAAGTGAGTTCCTTCCATCAGCTGAGTTTGCAACTCTAAGCAGAAGTGGGGAAGGAATAAAAAGCCCTAACAAGGAGGAACTGTATCTTTATGCTGCTTGGACTCTGAGGAGCAAGGATTACTAAGCATAAGCAAAAGATCCCCAGTGCTTAGCCTGGTTAGTCCTGAAGGACATATTGAGCTTGCTTATCATAGAAGCTTCTGTTCCTTTTTGAAATTTAAGATTGAAACTCATTTGTGTGTAGTGTTGTCTTTCGTGTGAAATCTAAGATGCAATGGACCTGGGGTAAGTGACTGATCCTTGTGACTGAGAGTAATCTGAATATTCCTGTGATCTTCAGTGTACGGTGGATTTACCTGGGAGGCAAGACAGATCGGAGTACCCAAGGGACTGTCTGTAATTTCATGTTAAGGCTGTTTTAGTTTCTGATGAGTTTACACTTGATAATTGATAGGTGAAATCTACGGATAGAACTCTCAACAATTTGGGGTTTGTGCCCTGTTTCCTAACAGTTTGCCCTGAGGTTGGTACCCACACCCTTCAGTCACTGCAGGACAGCTTGACAACTAGCCAAGAAACACTTGGTCTAAAAAGTTCCCGATCATATTTATAGTAGAGGATCATCAAAGCTCTAAGATGTATTTGGTTTCATATGGAAACCTAAGTTTTATTCCACCATGCCAATTTTACCCCTAGAGCTATAGTCCTGATGTGAAAGCGATATTTGAACAGTATGCCTGTTCAGGATTTTTTTCCCTTTGGTCTCTGTGTCTCCCCCAAGGCATGCCCCTCGACCACCAGAGTGCCAGGGGGCCAGGGGCAGGCAGCACAGAGTTGGCTACATTGGCTTTTTGTCAACCAGGGATTCTTCTACACAAAGAAAATCCCCAGCTCTCCTGTTACAGGAGCTCTCCATTACATTTGTGCTGCAGGAGCATCACAAGAGACACAGAATAGAGGATCACTTATGGTGGAGCTGTTACTAAGTTTGTATTCTGTTTTGCACTTCAAGTGGGAGTTCAACTTGTTCGTTTTATAGGAAAAATATAGTGTATATGCTGTAAATTTTAGCACGTAATGTCTGAGCAAAACCTGAATTTTCTGGGGAGTTTGAAAAAAATCAGTTAATTAATTTTAAAGTTCTAATCAATTAAAAATTGCATCCCTCACCGAAAAAAAGTTCAGTGTCTATCTCCCTGATTTTTTGGGTTCTCCTAGCTGAAACCCTAGGAGATAAGGAGAGTTTAGTGGGCTCTCTGGAGTTATGTATTTATTTTGTTAATTAACAAAAATAATTAAAAAATGTTACAGTTCTTTGTCATAAACGAATCCTTAAGTGCGGCACTTAGCTAATGGAGAACAAAAGCTTGGATGACTAAGATCTTCTATAAGTAGTAGCTGCTGGTTCGTGAAAACCCAAGAGCTCTTTGAGACTGTTTCATGAAGAAGAGTATCTTCAGCATAGGAACAGCTACTGTTCTGAGAACCCTAGTCTTCATGACACTGGCCAACCAGCTCAGGAGCTCCTGGTTTTCATGATAGCAACAGATGCTAATGTTGAAGATCCTGTTTTTCATGAAGATGGTCAGCCAGTGCAGGATCATATGTGATTTTGCAGAACGGATAGCAGGAAAAGTCTGGTCTGTTTGCAGTGGTGGGGAATTTGGGTGAAGAGGTGCTAGAAGACTGACTTCTACAATTGGTAGGAAAATGTTTTTCCCCACAACATTTTTGACAAAAAAAAAATCATTTTTCAAAAGTTTTTCTATAACATTTTTAAAGTTTTTCATCCAAACATTGAAAAACAAAATGTTATGGGTTTTGGTAACTGAAAACCACAAGTTTTTGCTAAAAACTGAAACATTTTCAATCAAAAATCGAAACATTTCAGCCAGTCAGGTAAAAATCTTTTGGCTTTACTGAAAACTGTTGCTCAAATGGATGAAATTTTTTGTTGTTGAAAACAGAACCAGTTTTTCTATTTACCACTCCCCTAATTTTGTAAAAATCAACATTTCCCACAGAAATTTCCATTTTGACAAAAAAGCCATTTATCATTAAAAAAAAATGAGAACGAAAAATTTCTGCTTAGGTCTACTAGTATCTTTATAAGGGCAGGAAGGTTGTGGTGTGTCGTCTGAGGTGTCTGGTGGTTGTTCTAGTGGTCAGGTGCGTGTCTCTGGATGGAGGAGTAGAGGGTATGTACTGTTAGATGCTTTTCATTTCCTTGCTTTCGTGGTTTTGGATTAGATATGTTATAGTACAGAGCAATCTTAAACCCACAACAGTGTGTGTAAGGTATGTACATAAAGGTTTTTTTCTGGGCAACCATATACATACGTGAGGCTCCCTATCCCCTTTTCTCTATTCTTGCACATCCACAGAAGGACCAGGAGCAATCACAACAACATAAAAATTCACATATGGTTCACTACTGCAGCTGTATACTAAACTTCCCTTCCCGCCTCCTCATTTTTATGGCCTGATCCTACATTCCAAGCCCACTTAACAGTCATTGATTTCAAGGGGATCTTTAGTTATGCAAGGTATGGAGATCTAGCCACAATGACTAGCTCTCCTTAGAGCATGAGCTATAGGATTCTGTTGTCTGAAACTAATGCACCCCTTTCAGGAGTCTGATTTGTCTTGCGTACCCCAATTTTCACCTCACTTAAAAACTACTTGTTTACAAAATCAGGCATAAAAATACAAAAGTGTCACAGCACACTGTTACTGAAAAATTGCCGACTTTCTCATTTTTACCATATAATTATAAAATACATTGATTGGAGTATAAATATTGTACTTACATTTCAGTGTGATACTTGAGCCTGTTTTTCACTTGTGAGCCTTGTCTGAAGCCAGAGTTTGAGGCAGTGGGGCTGAAGTCTGAGCCCCACCGCCCAGAGCTGAAGCATGTAACTTAGCTTCACTGGGTTCCCTGTGGTGCAGGGCCCCGGGCAATTGCCTTGCTTGCCACCCCTAATGCCAGCCCTGCACTTGCAACCCCTCTAAACCCATCCTGTGACTCCCCGCCCCCCCCCGAGGGTCGCAACCCCCAGGCTGAGAAACACTGATCTGGATGAGTTGAGTATCTGGATGAATTGAGTTGAGACCTCTGCCTACCCCCAGAAGTACATGTACTTCTGGCTGAGAACCATGGTCTTAAATTAATCCAAAAATGTTGGTTATCTTTATTTAAAACATATTAATCGCTGAGGTCCAAAAAGGAATAGCTACTATTTTCCAGTTTGTCCCTCAAAAATATTGCCCCCTGATCCTTATAAGGGTCTTTATTCTAATCCAAATTCCTAAAAGAATCTTAACAGGAAAAATGAGTCAGTTGAGGCTTTTCTCCTTTTATATATGCACATAAATAATATAAAAGATTACTAAGTCAATTGTTTAGTCATCTAAACATTCATAACCGTGATGAGAACTGCCTATGCAACAATATTTTCAAATTTACATATGCAAAATAATACATTGTTTCTATGAAAAAATATGAAACAACCATTTTTGCACACAAAATTTACTTTACTGCAAGCAAACCAGTATTTGTGTGTGCAGAATGGGTGACAGTATAGATGTGTATTCCTTTAGGCATGCAATTACCCAGTCTACATGATGAAATGCCTGCTTGCACACCTAAAGGGAGCATCCATACATTTTGGCAGGCACAGTATTAGCGCTCATATTTGAAAATTTGGCCCACAAAGAGAAAGATTTTGAAAATGCAGCACGACATTTAAAAGTCCAAATTCAATTTATTTTTACTACATTTTGAAACACTATATAGGTACTGGTATTACTTCCCCACCTACCTTCTCCATCTCTATTTAGCATAAAATACAAGCCAAATTTGCCAATGGTTGATATTAAAACTGTAACCTAGGAAGAAATAACCACGACGATTCAGAAAGGCTGTGACCCCAGGTCAGAAAGGTTTATGAGACTACTGTGATAAATAATCTAAACATAATTTGTTGGAGACTAACTATACTGCTAAATAATTCAGGCTCAAAACAAAATGTCAGCATTGCAGTGGGCGGAGACTCGATAACTCAGGTTAAGGGATATATTAAAATTATGCAGTAAAGTAAAAGTAAGTAAGTAAGTAAGTAAGTGTGTGTGTGTGTGTGTGTGTGTGTGTGTGTGTGTGTGTGGGAGGGAATAGGCTTTTGGTCAAGCAATCTCCCTGATTTACATAGCTTAAAATTACATATTGCAATTTATATATTACAATACTATCTTAGATAATTGTCACACACCCCTCCTCCAACCTAAATAAAAAATGAACTCTTATTTTTCTTTCAACCTTGACCTAGGTAATAACAAATAACTCTCATAATGCATTTTGGGACAACTTTATTAAGATAACACCAGCTAATTATTGTTTTGCTTTCTCCATGAGCAGGGATAGTGGCATCTTGCCATATGTGTGGTTTATTGAATAGCTGAATATCTGTACAGATTTGCTCTGACATATTCTATTTTTTAATCTCTATTCTATTCTCTTTAAAATTGCAAAACTAGTTTAAAAAGTCAGTGCTCATTGTTTAATTATTTTGCTTTCAAACAATACAATGTAAGTTAAAGTGATGGACAAACAAGAAAGGTTCATTACAAACAGAGAAGTGCTGGTGTGCCAAATGGCAAAAGGCAGTATAATCTCCGCATGAAAGAATAGCTAACAGAAAGGATAAAGGTCTAATAAGAAAATTAATGGTGAACAAACTTCTGAAAGTTTGGAGATTTGATTAGATTAATTATCCAAAAGGTAGGGCATTAAATCAAAGCATATACAAACGCATGTCAACCTCCTTTGTCTCAAAATCATGTTAAAATTACAGAAGGAAAGGCTCTCATAGTATTTCTGATATCTCCAAGATTTTGTCCAATAAAGCACACACAAGAATAGCCTATCTTTCCCTCGTGGTTTTTTGGTTCTGGCCACAAAAAATAAGCCAATCAACCCAAACTCCTCCTGTAAAGGTATATTGTTGGCTCTGAGTTTTGGGAGAGGCTGGATTGATTTTTATTTTTATCCAAGCCAGTCTGACCATGCATCCCATACACATCACAAGTGGTTGTGCAAGATGCTGTTTTTCAATGTCATTTTTATTTTTCCTTTAATAACACCAAATATAGATCAAGAAAATCATTGGGGGAAAAATGAAGGATTTTTGTGGGAGTCCATTTTATCATAATAGTGTTGTATCAGACTAACATTTGTTTTGGCTTCTAGAGCACAAAATAATTATCATTTAACAATTGTTTACAGCGCCCCAGTTTAAATGTATGTCAATAAAGTATACTGATAAATTGCAGATGTAATATACTGTGCATATTAGACAGACAGACAGAAAATGTGAATGCTTCATGTTCCACCTTACTTTACTAACAATTTACAGGCATTATTATTATTAGCCTTATTAATAAATATTTATATTATGGAAGCAGGGATAAGACCCAGGTCAGGATGGGGGCTCGTTGTGCTGGGTGCTGTACAAACATAGAAAAAGATAATCCCTGCCCTGACAGGCTTACAGTCTAGAGGGAAAAAAGGCATAAGAGAATGATGTGCTTTGTTAGTGTGGCTGGTTACTCTGGATGCCTCAGTAACAGAAAGGCACAGACAAATTAGATGGAGTTCAGAAAAAAACAAAATATGAGTAAGGAGCAGCAAGGGTTGGCTTAGAAAAAGTAAGTATGAAAGCACCAAACAATTGAAGCTGCCAAAAAAAGGAGACCTCAGCCAGGGCAAAAACTGGAGGGCCATTCAATTGCCATCTATCCCAAGCAGGGCCGGATTAATTCTCCTGTGGGCCCGGGGTTGTGTGGTGTTGAAAATGTTATTACAATCTAAAGCAAACAAAATCTTACTCTTCAACTTCCTGCACACCCTTCCGCTTTGAGGTCAAGTATTCTCGGTCAACGTCTCAAAACACAAAATAAACAGGTTATATAGATTTATCATTGCTATCAATGACACATTTACGTTCATAGTAAATGTAAGGAGGGAGGGCTGCAAAAAATTTGACTTTGAATGAGGGGTCACCAACATGAAAAGTCTGAAAAACACTGGATTAAATGATCAAATGGGTGTTTTCCATGCAAAGATTCTATTATGTATTTCTTCTGACTGAACAATGTTAAGGAATAATTCAAATATAATTTAAAAAGATACAGAATGGTTAAGCATATCCCACTAGAAGTGACAGAAATAAAGTGGAACAAAATGCATTAAGATCTACAAGACCGTTAATGACAACATTGTGTATGGAGTGTACATCACAGCTAACATTAAAAGGCTCTTTCTCAGCGTTGATGGGAACGTCTGGCATTGTAATAAAGAACATGGAGTTTTACTCATACTTTGTATAACTATTGTCAGTCAGTACTGAAATTTTGAAAGGACATTTGCAAGGTTTTATTGGGAATGCTGAATAAGTATGTTATATGTGCAATATTTTTATATTGGATATTCATAATATTTAATCTGGGTTTTTGTAATAAATGCAGGTATTTGTACTACCCTGAACATTAAAAAAAGGAGACTGTATTGATTTATTGTGGTGGTGAAGCCATACATACTGTAATGGTCCTAATGGAAAAGTATGTCAGGCCTATCAACCACTGTTTGAGTAGGAACATCTCTCCAAGCTCCAGACATAAGGAGAAACTGTCAAAATATAATGACCTGCTGTATATGAAAAGAATATAGACGGAGCAATCTTTTAAACATAACCCGCTTCCTTCATTTTCCCTAGACAGCTAAGTAAATTCCTGCCTTAATTACACTTTTAAAATGCAAAGACTATCCACAGCATATTTTATTTTTTGTAAGAAAGAAAGAAAGAAAGAAAGAAAGAAAGAAGTTCCTTACCACATTTTGATTGATCTTGTGTCTGAAACATGTGATGTAGACAACATAAGGCCAGTCATCAGGCTCCATCAGCACCCCTGCAGCATGGGCACAGGTAACGTGGAAGGAAGCTGGACAACGCCCATAAGAACACTGTATGCAGGCACCGGAAAATTTCTTCATTCTCTGTCTGCAGAAGATACATTTCTGTACGAACAAAACAGAACAGAATGTCAACTAAACTACCGTAACTTAGCTAATTTCCACGTTTTATTGACTACATTTTACAGCTCAGCTGTATTGAAAAAGAACAAACTTTTCTGAATTGCAAATAAACCTTGTAATATACTGTAACTCTAAGTCAGCATTTTTGTCTTTCTTTATGGACACACAAAGAGTTAATGGTTTTGGTGCCGTAGTGGGGAATCTGATATGTAGTTGATCATTATTAATCATTTTGATTCTAAATCCCATGCACTGCCCTACAAATCAACCCTTTCTCCCAAAGTGAGCAAATTATTAATATAATTCTTCAAAAATAATCATGATGTGTGACAACAATAAAACTAAAATACGTACACTCTGTTATGTTCCTGTGTGTTCAAAATAGGCATTGGGGGATGGGAGAAATGAGAGAGACAGGCTCTGCCTCGCTGAATAAAACAATTTGTCCATGAAGTCTGGTATCCTACTGCCAGAACTAGCCAATAACCAATATGTCAGATGGAGAAATACTCCATTACTATGTATTGCCAATTGTGTAATACTGTACATGGGGATATAGCTCTTTCCTGCTTACCCTCATCATAGCTTATAAAACAAGAAATATGTAATTGATTATCATAATATTTTAAAATCCACCCTCACTATTTTACCCAATGGCCTTGGCAGTAGTGAATTCCACAATCTGACTATGTGGTGTTGAAGTACTACTGATTCCTTTCATCGCTCTAAATTTACCAATAGTTTTTACAAAGCAACTCACTAAAGTGTCATCAGTGAACTTCACCAACTCAACATTGTATGATGGGATTGCCTTGAACTTATGTAACTGTCACAGCAAACGCTGCCAGAGTGGTGAATTTGTTGGTTCAAGTCATCCTCAAAAGTAAAGTTAGAATACAAAGCATGAGCAGACTAAGGAAGTGAACCCACAACGTTCAGTGCCTCATAGGAGTAAAACACTGTAAAATTAATACATTGGTCTTGGAAGCCTTTCATCCAAAGATTTCAAAATGCTTTACAAACATTTAACTACCCTTTCAAGGCAAGTATTATTATTCGCATTAAATAGAGAGGGAAACAGAGACAGAAAGGTTAAATGACTTTCCCAAGCCTGCATAGTAATGGGATCAGCACTCAGGACTTTCTACCTCCCAGTCGCTTATTTAGTTCATTAGATCCCATTTTAATGTAATTTCACAAACTTTAAAAAACGTAAAAATTGAAAAACAAAAATTTCATCCTGTGTAATTGTACTGACTCCCCACAGGGTCAGCAGCAGGGGGTGGGATCCATGTTCAGTAGGGGACTGTGTTATAATGATTTCAGAGCCTTCTGCCCCCTGTGCCTTGAGCCTATCTATGTCCCTTTCCGCTCTTATATTTCCCTCCCAAGTCACTGCCCTTATCCCTTCGTCCCCACTGTTATCCTCTCTGGCACCTGTCTGCCTCTAAAATCAACTCCTGCTCCTGCCCAGTCTTTAGCTTTTGCCCATGCCCCCTTGCTCCTATGCTACCCCACTCAACAGTTCCTGTCCTTGCCCCTTGCTCTTATCTTCTCCCATCATCGGCTCCTGCCTTTCTATCCCATCACTCTGCTCCTGTCCCTCTGGGCACCAGCAAGGGGTGTAGTGAGAGCAAAGGAGAGACTGTTTCCCTGCTCTCAGTTCTGGTGCCCAGTATCTAAGCAACCCCCAGCTTTGAGGAGCAATTGCAGGGAAAGTCCTGTTCAGCCCCTGGCAGATATGAAATGGAGAATGCTCAGTTGTTCTGTGAATATGATGCATCCACAGTCTGGTTGGCATGTAGGAAACTGTGAGAGGATGGCAAATGCTCCAGAGAATTTAGCTGCCAAACTCTACTAAACCTTTACTGAGAATGTGTGAAGTGGAATTTTTCAGAGGCCTATAACTTGGCCAAATGTGGGCAGATTTTCCCGGGGATGGCAAAAGGCACATACCTGACACAGGGAGGTCACCCTGAAAAATATCAAATCCTTGCTAGAAAGCATGGAAGTGCTAGAGCTTTTCAGCAGAGTGGTTGGAAGAATATTTTAAACATGAGCAAATGTATTTTCACTCATCTTCTTCTCTGAAATGGCTACACCATTATTGCTGAAACTTAAAAAAAAAGCAGCAGCAGCTCAATTGAGAAATCTGGCATTTTTGCCCAAATGGTTAAAATTTGGTGAAGTTCTAACTCATTGAACCAAGGGTCTTATAATTCGAAGTGTTGGGCAACTGTAAGTACAGGCAGCGCTACCTGCCCCACCTAGAACATCCGCATCAAATTGTTCTATAGCCAGCATTTTAGGATGGTAACAAGAACCAAGACACTAAGAAATTATAAGATGAACTATTGTATATGTTTGTACTTCAACTTATAAAAATGTCCTATGCAAAACAAAGAAAAAAATTAACACAGGAAGTACATAGTGTTATAATTAATTGGTTCATGCATCAAAAAAAGGGTTGAATTAAAATTAGCTATTCTACATAACATGAGTCACATGATTTGCCAGACTCTCTCTGCTTCAAGAAGTGGAAGAGCTGAGAAACATGAAATGAAAGACATGGGAAAACTGTGACACAAGTTCAGGAGGATTTGGAAACATGCTTCGGAAAACACAGACCTTGAACCGGGTAATAGCCAAATGATAAGGTCAGAAGAGATCTAAACGAAGGGTGTAGAGGCTCAGATATCGGTAGACGGCCAAATCAATACAGATTAAAATAAGAACTTTACCCAAACTATTTTTTAGGTTTAAAAATTCATTGAGTTTCACTTCTTCCCCTCTTTTCAATCCCTTAATATACTAATGTGGACACACTGAAATACTGCACACACGCACGGCATTTTCTCACAGTATTATTTACTTAGCTCAAACTAGAGAATACTAGAAATCTGGCGAAAAAGCCTGTTTATACGAGAGTTCCAGGAATAATTTCAGAAGCTTTATTAAGAAAACTCTTCCCTTAATCATTCAAAAATGCTGGAAACTACAGTGCATATGCTATGCTTGATCATTGCGAGTAAGGGGAAGGCTTTAAGAAAATAAACTTGCAAAGTATTAAGGAGCAGATTCTGATCTCAGTTTTACTGGTGTAAATCTTAGTAACTACTAACTTAAGTGAAGTTACTCTGGATTTACACTAGTGTAACTGAGACAAGAATCTGGCCCTAAGTAAGTTGGTAGTGCAGATTTAGAATTATATGAATTGAAAAAAAGCTTATTGTATTTCTAACAATGAGATGTGTCCACTTTATTGCTGAATCAAGAGAAGGCATGTATTATACCAATTAACTCCAAGGACACACTTATCTCTGGTGGTACATTATTATTTTTAATTCAAGTACGAAAAGGAATCATGGATAAGATTAGGAAGAGACAGGAGAGTTACTGTATATTCAGGGAGAGAAGATCTATTTTTTTTCCTGAACCTAGGTCACACAAAACCAATTATTAGTCTAAGGATGAGATCTCCCTCAGAAGGCATAACTGAAAGGTACTAAGACTGATATATACCACAATAAAATAAATTTCTTATGATTTTGAAGATGCTATGTCCTTTATTTTGTAGTAACTTTTGGATAATTCTGATACTGCTCAGCCTCAAGATGACAGACACACACTAAAGCACAAATACAAGTTGAGGTAGCGCAAGTGAAAAGGCATGGGCATGAGCAAATCCCTGATTTACACATGTGTACCAGGCAGCATGTCCACAGCTCTGGACAGGAGAAAATGCGCATGCACTTTTAAAAATGTAGGCCCTAAAAGCTATTTAATACTCCATATTTAGCTAACAAAAAAAGTAGAGAAAATGATAATTTTCTCCCCTTAGTGATTTGGATCCTTGTTCAAGAACTTAATAGTGAACTGGTACATATTAGATGTTAGTTATAAACTGAACAGTGCTCTCTGTGACACCTGTTGGTAATTGCTTCCTCCCTCAAACTCTTCCTGATAATTTATTCCTTATAGGCACTTATAAACTCTGGGCTTTAGTGGATGGTGGTTGCAGTGTGTTATTTTCTTTCCTGTAAGTAACCTTTTCCCACTGTATGTTCATTACATAGAGTGTCTATTTCACTATTATTCTATATTTCAAAAGAATTATAAGAAAATAGAGTTTAAAAAAGACAAATTCTTTCAGAGAAAAAACAAGGATGATGGGCAGAGAAAAACAGAGAAAGGAAACCCAAACTGCAAGGAAGGAAGAGAGGGATCATGAGAATGCAAAAACTGAGATTGCTTATTCTTTGAGGGTGAGATTTTCTGTAAAATAGGTTCATTACACAAAATGGGCCTTATCTTGCATGCTGCAGAATACCCTTGGCACCCCACAGGACAAGGCCCAAGATGCATACTCCCACGGCCTGGGCTTCCTCCATATTTGTGTGCACAAACCTAATACTTGAGTGTGATATTAACCAACCTGAGTGTAACCAATGATTATAATAATTAAGTTTAACAGAATTCATTTTTAAAAATATAATTTTGACAGATAATATTGATGTTTATTTTAAGCATTTTTATCTAACTAAATTTTCATAGTTGTGGGAAATCATGGGGGGAGATGAGTGGGTGGTCAGACAATTACTTAATGACAGTAGGCACTGAGATTCAAAAAGTTAAAGCTTTATTATCATTAAAACACAAATTGTTAGCATCACATGTCAAAATATACGAAGTAAATATCGTTAAATCAAACGCTAATAAGTTTTCAAGCAGCATTTTGCTTATTTTGTCAATTTAGATCATCATTGATGGAAGCAAAGTTTTTGTTGGATTGTGTGTGTACAGTGTAATCGACATTTACCCCCACCCCAAAGCTAATCCTTCAAAGCCTAGTAGTATTTTTCCTGCGAAGATTCTCTCTAACTCAGAGTCACAATCAGGGCTGGATTTCCAATTAGGCACAGTAAAGCATGTGCCTAGGGGCATCTAAAAGTTAAAAGTGGGTAAAAAGTTTTTTTGTTTTG